TTTGATTATGATTGTTTCTTTAAAATGGAAATCCTCCCAAACAATTTACATGCAAGACCGAACCATGAATTTTCTACATTTGAAAAGAAGTATAGGAGGCAACTTCAACGTATACGTCTTATACACATCAACATGACAATGTCTAGTTCAATAAAATATCCATGAAGACTTCTCATTGTTATGAATTATACAAACTTGTCATATATATGTACTTCAGGAATGTCATTCTAACTATAACATCTGCTGTCTTATATTTGTTATGTTCAATTGTTCAGAAAAGGAGGTCAATTCCGAAGTCGCAAGATGGAGTTCTTTCATTTCATCAGCCTGATATTCATATTTGCTTTGAATGTATTCTTCTTTTTCCCAGGAATATGTTTAAATTCCTTGGTCATACTCAGCTTTCGGAGGTCTGTGCAACTTCGCAAGAAATTATGCAATTTCATGATAATGGTTTTGTCTTGTTGCGATTTGCTTGCGGTTTTAACTGGTCATCCGTTCACGGCTCTTATCGCGATGTTATTCTTAACTGAAAAGTGGGATATATACCATGGCTTGCCGGTCATTTTCAGAAGGTACACATTTGTTTTCGTTGGCTTTTCTTTAATCGCTCTTTTGGTGATGAATTTTGATCGATATTTGGCGACATATTATCCTATCTTTCATCGAACATCGGTAACGAAGGGAAGACTTTTAATTATTCTTGCAATACTAATTACCGTGAAAGTAACCCTGGTGCTGATATCTTTCAACGACTTTGTTATTCCCTATCAAGTTGGTCTTCTAATATATAGCATTCTTGTCGCTCCTCCAATGTTGTTCATCAACTACAAATTGTTTAGAATCGCCAGGAAAAGTCGTAGAAACAATGGATTATCTCCCAAGATGAAAAAGACGTTTTCTTTGAAAAATATATCGTGTTGCTTGCTGTCAGTCGCTTGTTTTGTGGTTCTAAACATTCCAATGCTCGTCTACATTGGACTAAGAATAACCTCGACAAAAAAAGTATCTACTTTGGATAACACATTCCTTGCAGGACTCTGACAACCACAATGAATTCAACATGTAACTGCTTAATATTTTACTGGAAAAACAAGACTTTACGCACCGAGGGAATGAAAGTTATTAAAGGCATGAAAATATGTCGAAGAGTCCAATCCTAGTCTGACGATACTGAACAAACTAGAAAATAGTTGGGAAACGAAAAACAAGGAAAATACATTTGGCTTTGACGTATGAACGAGAAAAGAAAACAAAAATTTAGACAAAATGCGGCAACAGTAAAACATGTATTTAATTGCCAGATGGCAGCTGCGTGTAGTACGAGATAACTGAAATACTCTTTCATTTTAAAATGAAAAGTGTCAAAGGCCACAAAATTTCTCCGAGTAGTTTTTAATACTTTAGTAAAACTGCACTATTATTCCATTAACAATTAAATGCTCTTTATTGGTGCGTGGAGAAAAGTTTAGAACTGATGTAGAATAATGTTATGACGAGCGTGGTTTAAAGGTGCAACTACTTGAGAAGAAACTTGGACCGCCTCTTTGTCAAAATGTGTTCTTTATTGGCATAAATTAAGTTAATTTGGCTCAAGTTGCTTTATAACTGCAATGGAGCAATAATGAACGGTCCTAACTATAACAGTTTAGAACTGATAGAGCTTGCAAGTATTTATACAAAATTAAAATGATGTAGGTTTCCTCTGTTAGGAATACTGAACCAACATTAAATGGCTATATATAATTGTAACATCGTCCTCTAGGAAGAACAGCACTAACAGTTTAGAACTGACAGAGCTATCACGTATAAATAATAGACCATTATAGTTTTTTTAACCACCATAGTCTTAGTTTAAGGCACGATTTTCATATATGCTTTACTTTGTGGCAAAGTCGTGCTTAGCGCTTAGACCACCTGTTTAGTGTATAATTAAAATATATTATGAAAACAAACTTTCATTTCTATGTCTCGACCCGCTCTCAAGTTGTTTTCCAAAACTGCAAACTAATAACTTCTGAAACAGTTGTTTAACTAGATATTATGTGCTATGAGAACTATAGATCATGTTCTTTGTATAATTGTATAGTCTCTAATTCTTACGTGCAGCGACAGGGGCAAAATTAGAATCAAAACACTGCATATTGCAGTAACGCGCTGTCTTGTGCAGTTATCTCGCGTTTTGGAAAAGGTGAAATACACAGGCAGGCTTTTAGCCAGAAGGGCGTCCAGGCGTCCATAGAACAAAAAATGGACGCCTTTGGACGCCCAAATTCTTCTGTATATACAGGGTGTATAAAAAAAAACGGAGTCGCCCTAAATATCCTTATTTCTATCGTAAAATAAACTACCATAGTTTCGTTTTGGGCTCAATTTAAAGCTTGTTTTTTCTTCTTTCGAATGAAGGGTTTCCTGAAAATTTTGAACGAAGGCTAATCGCAATAAAAATAATTTAGTACAAGCGCTCGTTTTTAGATGCTTCGAAATATTAATCTTCGAAGCCCCTTGGGGACTTAATTAAAGGTAGTTTGCTAAAATTTAGAACGTTGTTGTTTAAAACTTTACAATCACCATTCATAATGCCAAAGCTAACAATTCCGGAAAGAACATTCATTCTTGAAAAGTATTTCGAAACAAAAAGCGTTGTTGCAGTGTTAAGACAATTTCAAATAGCTTTTCCAGGACGTAATCTTCATCGAGCGTTTGGCGTAATGTCAACAAATACCGGCTGCATATGCATTGAATGGAAGAACCACCCCATAAAGTTCAAATCGAAATAAAGGAAACTCGGGAAGAAGACTTGTCTTGGATATGAGACAAAGTACGAACTTGTGTGAACTTAGAAATGAAGGCCACGTTGAGTAAATATGTAGTTCCAACTTATTTTTTGGAACGTTTAAATAAATTGTGAATTCAACACATCTACGTTTTTTAATTTTCCAATTGCACTTACTTAAATTGACACAGCTCGCCAGCAATAATTCAAAATTTTATAAAATAAAGTATATAAAATAGCCGAAAGATCGCGATTTCGAAAGAATGCAAGTATAAATGTCTAACTTTCATATTCGCTTTGAAATTTACACTTTATGTGAGGACTCCGTTTTTATTGATACACCCTGTGTATATATATATATATATATATATATATATATATATATATATATATATATATATATATATATATATATATATATATATATATATATATATATATATATATATATATATATATATATATATATATATACACAGGGTGTATCAAAATAAACGCAATTCATCTTTTGTGCTTTATAACTTTCGAAATACTATTTCTAGTTAAACGCTTTTAGGCTTACTTCAAAGCCTGTTCTTTTCTCTTTCAAACAAACTATTATCCTT